AAAAAAAAACAGTTTTGTTTGAGCCCTTTTAAGGGCATATAACTTCCTAAGGGTGCGTTTTAGGGCACATGTTAATAGGAACTTTTTGGCTTATTTTAGTGAGTTATAAAGGCAGCAGAAGTTTGGAACCCTATTTCAGAAACACCCTGTACGGTTATGGGGGAAGGGGATTGAGATTGAATATACAGGCTATTACAAATTCGGTTCTCATTACAGGGATCTCGGAAACGGTAAGAGACCAACATTATGCCTCTAAAAAATCAAGGCTAGCATGATTAGTTTTCCAAATATCTGAAAATAAACGAAATTTTGGAAATCCGTTTTTGTTTAAAGTTCAACCTTGTTTGAGGTGATACTGAAAAAAGAAGAAGATTTTCTCGTGGCCACTCTTATCGAATGGCATAATCAATTTTTATATATAACGTTTCGTCTCTCCAGGACCATCATCAACTTCATTTTTTAAATACGACCCTAGAAATTTTATTACATTTTTGAAACGTCTCATGACCCCCAATACTGTACTGCCTCAGCTCGAACCAGATTCAGACGTTTTGTCTCGAAAAATTCATCTTCAGTGTAATCGTTCCAAATTTATCTAAATTTTTTATTTAGATTTATTTGTTTATTGAATTATCGTACACTGTAAGTGTCGTTAGACCCTGTGAAATCCATCTAGTTATTCAATAAGCCAGTAATACACTGGTTTATTGATCTTCTTAATTTGCAGAACAGGCTTCCAAGCTGTTGGCAATCTTTGAGTATAATCGCGTGTGTTGAGATTTTGAGGATGTTTTTCAATTTCGATTGCCACTCTAATTATTCTTTTTACACGATGCTCCATTCTTGTTAGTACCTTAGTATTTTCGAAATCAATCTGGTGGCCAGTTTTTTTGCATGTTGAGCTAATGATGAAGTTTTTTTATTTTTCTGGACAGCATTCCGATGTTCTTCTTTCCGGGTTTGAATTTTTCCGTTAGTTTGTCCAATGTACGTCTTTTCACATACTCCTTAGTCTTCTAAAGGAATGTTTTTTTTGGCTGATGGTAGCATATTGCCAATCTTCCTTTCCTTGTTGAAGATGGTTTCTATTTTATGTTTCTTTAAAACCCTGCTTATTTTGTAGTTAGATCGCTTAACGTATGGCAGAAGAGCTTTGGCTATTGGTTTATCTTCTTTCTTCTGTTCTTTGTTTCGTCTGGGTCTTAAAGCCCTCTTAATGTTGTTACTAGAGAAACCATTTTGCTATAAGGCTAATTTCATGTTTTTAATTTCCTCTTCTTTGTGGTCGTTGTCAGAGAGTCGTTCTGACCTTGTCATTAGTGTGTTGGTTTCCTATATACCGTATAGCCTAGATCTTCATGTTCTTTTTTCTTTATAAATACATATAGCTGTTGGTCCTTTTCCAGTTCCACGGTAAACTTGATTTTTGGGTGTCTGTTGTTCAGATGAATTAAGAATTCTTGTAATTTCTCTTCTCCATGTATCCATACGACAAAGGTGTCATCGACATATTTCAGCCACATAGATAGTTTATATTCTGCTGCTTCTATTGCCCGTTTTTCTAATTCCTCCATGAATAGGTTGGCTATGACTGGCGACAAAGGCGAGTTCATCGGTGCTCCTTCTATTTGCCTATACTTTTGGTTTTTGTAGACAAAGTAAGCGTTCTTCAGGCAGTTTCGTCAATTCCACTAGATCATCTGGATCATGTCAAGTGCTCGTTTCACTGAAATGTTAAATAGGGACACTACATCAAAGCTTACTAGCAGATGTCCTGGATCCACTTTTACGTTTCTAATACGCTCGATGAAGTGGTTTGCGTTCTTGACGTAAGATTTCGCTTCTTCAGCGTATGGTTGTAATTGTTTAGCCAGGAATCTTGCCACATGTTGTAATGGTGATCCAATGAAACCTACGATGGGTCTTAAGGGCACTCCTCTGTGGATTTTAGGTAATACATAAATTTTTGGCACATCGATGATTTCTCTTTTGGGATAAGTTGCAGTTGTTGTTCTTGTCTGATGTTTGATGCTTTAATTTTAGTTTTTTTTGTGGCCTTCACAAAGTATGTAGTAAAGTCTGTGGAGATAGGTTCGTATGCTGGGTCGATAAGTAAAGCCATGATCTTCCTATAATTTTCTTGAGTGTCCATTATGACGGTTGCATTTTCCTTATCAGCTGAAAGGATGAGTATATCGGTGTTATTTTGTTGATTACGTAGGGCTTGTGTTTCATCTCTCGTAAGATTCTTTTTTAGCGACTTAGCTCTTCTCAGTATTTGGGACATATCTTGTCGGATAGTTTCTGCGATATTGGTGTTCATGTTCTCAATAGATGCTGCCACTCCGCATATGTTTCCCACTGGAATATGTGTTGGTGTTACAGCATAGTTAAAATCATTTGCCAGCACACTTTTTGAGTCTTCGTCAAGGACCATTTTGGAGACATTGTTAACAATTTTATCGGTATTTAGTCCTGGCGTGTTTCTCTTTTTAGGGAGCTATTCCTGTTGAAGTCTCTCAAATTTCTTTTTCTGTTTGTTTCCTGTTAGTTCTGCATCGGTTTCTGCTCTAAACTCAGCGAGATTGTCTAACATGGTCAATAATGTTGGGTGGAGACTATTGCTTAGCGTCAAATGGATTTCATAAAGGTCCATATTGACTTGATTTAGTTCCGTTCTCGTATCGTGGATGGTTTCTCTGAGCAAAGTTAGGCTTGCTCTTCTCAGGATATTGTTCGTCTGGTTATTCTTCTTATGGAAACTTAACTTCATGCAATTTGGTATGATGTTTTCGTCTCGGCAGCGTTGCAGGGATGTGAGATTGCACAGTAGTTTGTTCCTCTTTGATCGTAGCTTTTCTAACTTCTTGGTTTTGGGCACAATATCATCCCCGTAAAGGTTTATTATGCTAGTTCTTAGGCTTCCACGGGTGTTGTATGTGATTGTAAAATTTCTCCAGTTGAACTATCTTTTATTATATCTCGAAACCTGTATTCCTGAGGGATCAAATTGAAAGTTAATTTAAAGATTAAATCAAGAGTTAACCCTGGAATACCATCGAAATGAACTCAATCTGAACAATTGAGATGAAAAAAAAAAAAAAAAATTAAAAATATCACACCACTATTTGTAGACCATTGAATTACGTCATTTCGTTACTATTCCAGGGTTAACTCTTGATTTGATCTTCAAATGAATTTTTAGGTTGACCTGATACTACTCTGTCACGTATTCGGGTATAAAATTTACCGCTTTTTCAGGATTCAGTTTCAGGAATACAGATAACAATATAAAAAGAAGCAAAGGCAACCTTCAAATGACTTTCAAGATTAAATCCAAGATCATCGATCCATGATTCCGAACATCCTTAAAAACATTTATAGAGGTTATCAATGCCTATTTCTGTAGTCGACCTTCAAACGATCTTGAACCCCAAGGTCGAGGCCAATTACAAGATCATGATAGAGTACTTTGATAAAAATCACATCGACACATCTTATTCCGAGGTTGCTTCAGGGGTGATGAATCCTTTGAACTCACTATGATCTTGACCTTGAAATTGCCTTTCAATTGACTTTCAAGGTCACGGTTAAGGTCAAATTCAAAATCAGAAACCGCTTTCCCTCAATGAACTGAACAACTTTCATTATGTCATTTTAGGATTGGAGGCTTCACTGACGAGATATTCATGTTTATCGATTAAAATGGGATTATTTACCTGGCTATTTAGTGCTAAACAGATTAACATGAAGAAAAAGAACACAGCCCATAATTGTGATGCTGGCATCTTTGCTATTGCTTGAGGATAAACCACGAAGATTAAACCTGGTCCTAAAAAAAGAAAAAAGTATTATTATTACAAAGCCAACTGCATAATTTAGTACTATCCTAGCAAATTGATATAATACGGGGTTGTAGACATAGGGAAGGAATGACTTTTTTACCTCAACTTTACGCCACTTGCGCAATTCTAAGTCTTAATTTTAGTTTTCCTAGGCATAAAATATACCAGTCTGAAGTTCGAAAAAGTCGTTAGATGAAAATGATATTTAATGAATAGTGTGCAGTATGTACTTAATTAATGGAAATAAATAATAATAACAAGCCTATCCAACTTTTATTTGAACATTTTTTGTATACACAAATACACACAAATAATAATAGAGCTTCTGTACTTTGTCGCTATAATGAACCAATCTGCAATAGATTCAGGTGTCCAAATAACAAAATAACGTTGGCCAAATCTCAAGAATTGTTCACCAAAACGTCCCCCAGAAAACATATTTTTAAGTTCTTCAGTTCGCCTGCAAGTTCGGTTTATAAAAAATCATTTTTTAACTGTAAAAATAATTCTACGAAAATATGGTTGAAAATAAAAACTCATTCCAAAAACAAACATACATATGGAAATTAGTTAGGAAAAAATAATGGCAGAATAAAGGAAATCTTGTGCACTGAGATATACAGGGTGTTCTCAAAGTTGAGTCATTTATTTTAACAGCTGATAGAACTCATAAAAAAAGTCGATTTAACAAAAATCTTTAATATAAAAGTTAAATAAAGTAATTAACAATTTTATTTTAAAAAATTGAAATTTAAAAACTTTATAATACAAACTGATTTATTGTCATTTTCGATCACTTCTTTGCAAAAACATAAATTGTCTGTTTACTACTGATCTTTTTTTTTTTTTGTAGTTGCGCGGTTTTGAGCACGCTTTTCGATTTGACAGGGCTAAATAATTCGTACAGTAGTGCGTGATATTATTTTTCATTTGGTTTTCTGCAATAAAAATGGCACATGTTTATGAAAACAATGAACTAGTGAACATAATATTAACTTACGGGGAGTGTCAACAAAATGCAGTCGCATTTTCGCGGAAAGGTTTCCTTTATGAAATTATCCGGCACTGCGGATGTTTGTAAATTTAGTTATAAGACTCCACGACATAGGGTAATTAAAGGAACAACGAGGAAGTCACGCTGGAAGATAAATTGTTTGTTTACTAACATGTACCTAGTCCTCCTTATTGGGTCGTTTTCAACAATTTCTGAAATTTCTTCCTCGTACTCCACCATTTCGTGTGGAGGAGCGTGACCTCTTCGTATAATAGGGTTTGTATTATAGTTTTTAAATTTCAATTTTTTAAATAAAATTGTTAATAATTGCTTTATTTACAACTTTTATATAAAAGATTTTTAGTAAATCGACTTTTTTATGAGTTTTACCAGCTGTTAAAATAAATTACTCAACTTTGAGAACACCCGTATACTGATAATAATGAAGCTGATATTTTAAGAAATGCTTTTGTAAATTATTTTATTTTCGAAGCTAAAGCTATTGTACTGATTTCCAACCAATCTTCAGTAACAAACAAACTTATATATGTATACAGGGTGAATCATTAATAATGGTACACAGCTTAAGAGCAGATTGTTAACGTCAGAAAATAATAATAATAATANTCTTGGCCTTCCGGTAAAGGAATGGGATTTTATTCTATATCATTTATTAATTCAAAAGCTTGATGTTGCTACCGTAACTCGCTATGAATTGCATAGTAATTCGAAACAGAACCAGTCTGAATTTCCCTCTTTCGAGGATTTGCAAAAGTTCTTATATTATCAATGTTCAGCTTTAGATACAGTTGCTCTTATAATGCCGAAAAATAAAAAAACACAATCGTCATTTAATAAACCGAATGTAAAATTTACAGAACGGAATAGATCGGCTTCATCTTTTGTTGTATATACAAAAAACAAAGAAACTTTGTAAATCTATATCGATTTGTAAATTTTGTAATGAACATCATCACACATTGTTACACTTTAAACAAGAAGCTTCCGATATAGAAACACCACAAGTAAAAACCGCTAATCTGTCGTAACAAATATTAATCCGAAGTAGTTACATCAATACCGGCTAATGTTTTTGTTAATGTCGATAACTTTAAAACAACAGTATTGCTATCCACTGCTACTATAGTGGACATATTCGATTCTCGAGGAAATATTCACAGTGCCAGCTCAGACAATATAGCTTATCGCCACAGACTGCTTGTTAAATGATGGTAATTGGCAGCCTAAAATGGATGCAGGGTTTCCTTAGCCAGCTTCCAGCTATAAAATTTAGCGTGGTAACTCTTCTACTTGGTAATAGGCGGCAGTTCTAGCGGTGGCGTTGTTGCCAAATGATAAGTGCCATATAAATTCGATGCATTCAATTGTGTAATTAAAGAGACATGGAACTTATCTTTTGTTTGGAAATCACATTTGTGATAAATGCTAAATAAAATAAATCAAGTTAGAATTAAAACTATGAATTTACCTAATTAATTATTTATTTTATATCAGCTTGGAATGGAAGAATTCAAAAACTTGAAATTAATGTCTTTAGATTTGTGCGTCGACATCCAGTTTGGTACGATAGAAACACCTATATTTAAAAACATTGTATTATACAGGTTGGGTATCCTTAGATGGGTACTGCTCTCTTATTGTTGATTTCTTTAGTTAGGTTAAATAATTATTGACACAAGTTTTGCATATCACGATCATGGATGCCATTGGTAGTGCTCATATTTGTGACACAATGTGTTAAAAAAAATTAACACAATGTGAAATGGCTGGAACNATCCTTAATACTATAAGCTTTCTCAACAATATTAGAACCAATAATAAAGTGACTGAAAAGTATGACTATTTCTAGTGAAAGAAATATGACTGCATTTCTTATCATTAATAAATAACTAATTAGACTTACAAAAATGATACACATGAATATCTTCCTGAAATTCAACAACATCAGTATCACTTGACATTTATTTGAAAATCTTAAGGCCATTAGCGTAAATCGAGAAATGACAATGCTTAAAGCAATTAGATATATTATTTATAATATAGAAAACAGTAAAGAATCTATATGACTTGTATGACCTATATGACTACCTTGAGGAACACCCGACGTAACTTTGCTAATATCAGAGCTACAATTCATAATCATAACGTACTGAGAACGATTGGTTAAATACGATTTAATCCACGCCAGAAGGTTGCCAAACACACCAACACATCGAAGCTTATTAAACAGAGTATCATGGCAAACCTTATCAAAAGCTTTCGAAAAGTCCGTGTATACAGCATCCACCTGAACATTTTTATCCATACTATCAGAGATGAACTGTACAGAAGGAGCAAGGTTAGTCACAATAGATCTACGACTAAAAAATCCATGCTGGTTTTCGTTTAATAAATATTTTATTTGAAAAAAATATTTATCCGTAATAATTGATTCCAAGATTTTGCTAAGAGTGCATAAAATAGAAATTGATCTGTAATTATTTACTTCATATTTACTTACTTTACTTTAAAAATAGATGTAACTTTACCAACCTTCCACTTTTCAGGGAAACAACATTCAGTAACAGATTTATTAAATATTTTAAAAAGTGGTAACTTAATATGATTACAACACGATTTGATAAAAATTGGAGGAATATTGTCACACCCAGCACCCTTATTAATGTCTAAGTTATGAATCTTATCTGTTATGTCGTTAATGTCAATAGAGGCAATATTAATAACATTGTTAAAACATACAGGGTCATTAGTAATTACTGGCTTATTAGGTGGCTCATAAACACAAGCAAAAAAATCACCAAAAGCTTTAGCAACGTCTGGATAAATACTAAAAACTTTGTTGTAATATTTCATGTTTCAATACTATTTGTACTTCTGATATGCGAAACATATGACCAAAATCTTTTTGAGTTACTAATAATATTATTTTTCGTATCAGCAATAAATTTTTTGTAATCAATGTATATTTATTTTTTAGACTGGCTTCTGTAACTTGCAAACAAATTATAATCAGCAACTTTATTATATTTATGGAATATACTTTTTTCCTTAGCAGTTTCCTTGTCAGTAGAAAACCATATAATATTATTTAGGACCTCATAAAAAATAGAAATAGCTCTATCAGTAATAGTCTTATCAAACAATAATTCCCAGTTGACGACACAAAGTTCAGCATTAATTTTATTATAGTCTGCTTTGAAAAAGACAAATATGGCACTTTAGTTTTCTTTCATTTCAATGTAAGATAAATCAATTTGATTATTAAGTGACACATGATGTACCCAAATCTTCTTTAACAAAAGGACAATCACACCTCACTATAATATCTGAATAGTTGGACAAAAGTAAGTCTAATATCCTATCATTACTATTAACACAACCATTAAACTGGAATAAGCTATTAAAGGACACACAATCAGAAAAACTTTGACAAATCTCATCAGGCTTACCTACATATTTCTTCACATTTGGTATATTTAATAATCTTTAGTATATTTAATATCTGTTGAAAAGGGCAAATTTCCTAATATTTTAAAGACTGATGTAGTTACATTTATATAAAAAGAACAATCCGTTATGTATTCAAAATTATAGAGGAATTACTGTCCCAACAGATTTATCCAAAATCTTTTATCTTAATAAGTAGGTACTATATATTAACTAAGTGCCAGAACGTTTTTTTTTTCCAAGAAATCTACTGAAACCGCTATTCGTAGAATATATTTATGAAAATATTCATAAGGGGAAATATGTGAGGACACTCTATTTGGAGTTAACAATGGCATTTGATTGCTTAAATCATACTTTATGAAAGAAAAATTGGATATGGTTGGTTTTCAAGGCAATTTTCTTAGCTCTTGTTATATTTATAGCTTAGAAAAATATGTGTAAAGCTTAATAATTCCTATACTAATACACAAAATGTGGAACTCGGAGTTCCTTGGGGCTCAGTACTTGGATCACTTATTATTTTCATGTCATGTCACACTTGCAGCTGCCGCGGATAGCCAGAGGGACCTTGAAATAATATTATATAAGAATATTTTGTTTTCATCGATTTTTATTAATTGTTAAAGCACATCGCGTTTCTAAATGAAAAATAAATGAGCATTTTGCGTAAGCTAAGTGTTTTTGAATCGAAATTTTTTGTCCTACCAAAGACTAAGGTCATAAAGTTTATTACTATGCAGAATTATTTGGCCATCATGTCAATAATTGAAAAATGTAAAAATTGAGAATAAAATAATAATGGCAAATAAACTAAAAACTTATTGTTTATAGAAGCATTTTGATAAATCTAAAAACATACCGTCATCAATTACATCCTCTATCGAAGTACCCTGTTCGGTAGCTATATTCCCTATAGTTGCAAAAGCAAATACTCCTACAATAAGACTAGTAATTGCGTTTACTAACCAAACAGCGATCGTATCATGTAAAATATTATTATTAAATTTGTTGTAACTGGCGAAGCAAATCATAGATCCAAAAGCACATCCCATTGAATTAAATGTTTGACAAGCTGCGTTTACCCAAACCTGCAAATTTAAAATTTATACATATATACAGGGTGTCCTGTATATTTCACCGACAACGTTTGACTGCATATTCACGGCGTTAAATGAATACGATTTACGAAAAAAAAAAGTTAAGTAAAAACTTTTTGGTTTTGAGTTACAGACCTTCAAAGTTGTTCATTTGGTACATTTATTTGGACTATTATGGCGTATTATCTCTGAAAGCTTTAGTCAAATCCGGATGATAGTTTTTTCCGGTTACTTCCCCCTTTTAGCGGTCAAAACTTTTACAGTGGTCGTATTTTTTTTAAACGGGCAGAAACATTGAAAAGCTCGTTTTATTTAAAAAAAATATTGTCCCTTGAAAAAATCGACTACAGAAAGCCATTCTTGAGAAAAATGGCATTATTTGCAGGTCTGTATGTTTGCGTAGCAGTGTCCGTATTTAAAACTTTGAGTTCATTAGGCGATGAAAACAAGATGTTGATTGCTGTGACTGAAAAACTATCACCCGGTATATCGATTTGACTGAAGATTTAAGAAATAATGCGCCATAATAGTCCAAATAAATGTGCCAAATTTTAATTGGTAAAAGGGTTATGAAGTTAATTAAATTAGTTTTATTTTTGGCAACTTTGAAGGCATGAAAGTAACTCGATAACCAAAAAATTTTTTTTTACTTTTTTTTTCGTATATCGTATTTTTTATCATCGTGAATAGGCAGACAAACGTTGCCGGTAAAATTTACCGACACTTCATATATTTGAGTAAAAAAAGTCAACCGGTACATTCCCCAATAAAAGAAAACGTTCCCTCCACATAGCTCCTGCTAGAAACGGATTCAATCAATATTAGCTTATGCAATAGTTAATCCTCAGATTTCTGTTAGGGTAATAGATGAAAAATTGGAAATTTAGCGAAAGTACTGTGCATAACGCTGAAAGATGAAAAATTTCAACCATATTTTTCATTCAGAGATTGCGTACTAATGACTATCTTCATGGAAATCCTAATTTTTTGGAACAAATACTAGGGAGTGATGGGTCAAGTTTCCATAATAACGGAAGAGTCAATTGCCACAATTGTCACTATTGGTCGTATGAAAATCCATGTTGGGTTAGAGTTAGAGAAATTCATTTTCAAAACGTGTGGGGTACTAATATGTGGTGTGGTTTATTTAGGGGACACTTGATAGGTCCCCGAATGCGTGTTGCAATTTCAGCGTTGCTCATAGAGGGCGCCACTTACGACCAATTTTATCGAAAATTAGGTTAATAACTTTTTACTTTGTATGTCTACCATGAAACTTGATTCAAAACCTGAAGCAGCAACCATTTTCTCATTAATTACGTTTTATTGTCTCATTTCGGTATTTCAATCCGTTTTCGAGAAAAATAAATCGATTTAACGAACACTATGTTTTGATAATACGAGAAATTAAAAGCAAAACAAACCAAGTGTTTCTTCATGTTATTACAACAATTATAAAAACAAACGAAATACGTAATAATCATTTAAGGTAATTGTTCGAACAATCCACCGTTGACACTAATGCACTTTACAAAACATTTGAAACAACATATTAGGATTGCGTCTGACTTCGTTGGCAGCGATTTGTATTCTTTGCCACAACTCTTCACGCGAATCAATAAATTCTTTCTAAACTGTATCTTTCATTCGAGACCAAATAGAAAAATTAAGAGGATTGATGTCCAGACTTCTGGGTGGCAAAGCAAAAATGCTTCCACGGCCAATCCGACGATTTGGAAAAACTGCATCTAAATAACCTAAATTATAAAACCTAAACCCATGAAACCTAAATCTAAGCCCATTAAACCTAAACGAACAAAACCTGAATCCATAAAACCTAAACCTGTAAGACATAAACCCATGAAATCCTAAATCCATAAGACTTAAACCCACAAAACGTAAACCCATATAACCTAAACCTATAAAACCTAAGCCTATAAATCCCGAACCCATAAAACCCAAAGCCATAAAATCTAAACCAATAAGATTTAAACTCATAAAATCTAAATCCAAAAGACGTAAATCCATAAAATTTAAACCTATACCTATAAGACCTAAACCCATGTAACCTAAACCTATAATACCTAAACCTATGCAACTTAAATCAATAAAATCCACAAAACCCAGACCCAAAAAATCTAAACTAATAAAATCTATGGTCTGAGATTTGTGTTTTTAATTTAATGGGTTTATTAGGTCAGGTTTTTATGCTTATGGTTTCAAGAATTTGTGGTTTACAATTAAATGGTTCTAAGATTTAGATATACCTTACTTTTTTTATATTCGGTAATAAAATATTGTCCATATTTTGTGGTATTAAGTATGGGAAACATTGTAGTTTATGAGTATATAAATTATTGCAAGTTGAGATCTTAAAATATCGCAATTGTTGAAGTGACAAAAGAAAGCGGACGGATTATTTTAAAAAAATCCTATTTGGACAACTTTTACTACCTTGCACGGAATTTTCAGCGTTTTCGCCCACTTAATATGCACTTTTCTTCACCAAATGTAATTTAGTGTAGATGACAGAAAAATACCTAATATATGATGATATTAACGAAAAAAACTATCAGCCCGGAAGGATTTTACTAAATATTGGGCTAAACAGTAACAGCTGGCAATAAATGATAACACTTGGTTAGCGATTCAAAAAAAATTTTCTCATATTTACGCAACTTTTACTTATTAATTTTTTAACAAACGACTTCTTTTATCAAAACTTATCTTAGATTAAAAATAAATCTCATAAATACCCTGTATTCTTTGTGCTTTTTGAAACTGAAAACAGAAAATTATTACTTTACCTTAGCGTCTAACAGTAATTCAAATTTGGGTTTAAAAAAATATCTCATGCCCTTATCAGCTCCATCCAGTGTCAAAGATTTTATTAGAAGGATTAAAATAATTACAAACGGGAAAGTAGCTGTGAAGTATCGAACTTTTGCGGAAGATTTGATACTTTTCCATATTGCAAAATAAATTAAAACCCATGCACATATCAAACATGTCACTAACTCCCACCGCAAAACATTAGAATCTTCAATTCCTGTACCAATCTGAAGTACTTTGCGACTACAAATTTTGCAATTAGTTATTTACAGTTTGTATAAATACATATACTTACTCATAAAATTCTTCTGCGGGTGATTGACTAAATCGAGGTTTACTATGATTGTGAAGTTTAGAAGGTATCCAGCAGTATTTAGTGTTCCATCTATGGCTACAGTCTTCCCAAGGTTGCTTCACCTTAAATGATGTGAAAAAATAGTAAACTCCATATGCTATTATTACACTGTAGTAGGTAGACATTAGGAATGATATTACTACACTTCCCAATCCAGTACCTACGATAGGAAACGTATTTTAAAATACATAGAATGATTCTAAAGTACCTATGTAGCCAAAGGAATGGTATTTTAGGCAAAAAGATTCCAAAAGAAATTGTCCCAAAAACAGCATAATAAATCTATAAGAAATGATGATCTATGAACTAATTTTTTTTTGTCGGCCTGTGTAATTTACCCATATTAACAACAAAAATTAATGAATATGTGTACAAATATGTCAACCTGTAAGTTACTGTTAATAAGAACCCCAAAATTTCTACAATCCTTATTGTTTTGGAAAATCTTTTTCTAACTTTATTGGAAAAAAGAGTAGTCGAGTTTTTTATTTGAAATAAGCTTAAGTATTCATAGTTGATTAGTTAATAATTATAATACAGTGCGTCCCAGAAGTAACGCAAAATATTCGTATTTTATTTTGTGTTGCGTATTCACAAAAACGCTAAAACACGTCAATTAGTAAATAGGAATTGTCATTTTGTCACGTTGCTTAAACCTTTTTTACGCTATGTTTCATAAACCTATGACATCATCGACATTTTTTTTAAATAGCACTACCTAATTTTTTAGGCATAAATGGATAGCCCTTTTGAAGGGAAATGCGTGGATATAGGGTTTGGTCTACTTTACTTTGACATGTGTGAAAAAAGCCAACGATTGGAATGGACATGGTTTAAAATAACAACAAAAGTAGATATCACAAACTGATGCGAGAACAGTACCTACCACAGCAAAAAATGTGTTTTGGTTGATTGTAGGTACATGTTTTTATGTAGATTGGGTAGGTTCACCCGATCACAGCGGCTAGGCATTATTTTGAAGACGACAGTTAGCGAATGCAATAGTGCTGCATATCATTGTGACAGTTATAAACACCATAACCTTATATTACGATGGTGTTGGGTTTAAGTGAGAAATAAAGAATTGAAATCCTAATTATGGTTGAATATGGAGATAGGATCCGTAGTTATGATGAAGTATGTAAATAATTCAATGCCAATTATCCAGAACAACCAATACCTCCGTCTACAGTATGCAGATTAGTACGCAAATTTGAAGACGCTGGACATGTTAGAGATCTGTCTAGATCTGGATGGCCAACGACAGTGACGAAAAAAGGCAAAATGTTATGTTTAGCTGTCACTGAAAATCCACACGCTGCTGTTCGTNATGAAGCGTCAGTAGGAATACAGAAGAATAAAAATTGAAATACAATTTAACAAAGTTTGTTTTAACGATTGTCATAATTGTAAAATTCCTGCAAACTGTAAAAACAGTTTTGTAAGAGGAATGAGCGAAGCTCCTTACGAAATTTATTAATGTTTCTTTTTTCTCGTATCGGTGTCGGTAAATTATTAAATATCGTTCCACAGAGATAGAAAGGCCCTTTCTTATACATAGTTAAATTAAATTTATTTATCAGTACGTTGTGTTTCCCTCTTGTATTATGTTTATGAACATTGACATGCCTTGGAAACAGGTTACTATTCATTTTGATAAAAACACTTGCCTCATATATGAGGACACATGGAAGTGATAAAATTTGATCTCTTATAAGTGTGGGGCGACATGACTCCAAGGGTTTCAAAGAAAATATTAACCGAATGATTTTTTTGGTAAATAAATACTCTTTGAAAGTCACAACTAGATCCCCAATAAATTTATTAAATATTTCATATGAGAGTAAGCCAGTGCAAAATATATATTTAGTAAATATTGTCTATTCATACAACCCTTCAGATTTCTTATGGCAAAAAAGGCTGATTTCATTTTGTTTAATACATGGTTTAATATGGTTGCTCCAGTTAAGATGTTCATCTATATATAATACTAAGATATATAGCGATTGAGCCAAACATGCCAGTCAATTGTTGCTCCCTTTCGTTCTACATCTATTAAAATTGAAAAAATGTTTTCGATTTTATTCTATATTTTAAGTATGCATGGACCGATTATTTTGAAAATTTGTAATTTTACGTTTGTTGAGGTGGCAAATACGAATATGCAAACAGTGTTGGGGTCACGCCTAGAGGGCGCTAGTTATACTGTCCTATCAATGTAAGAATATGTCAAACTTTTTGTCTTTTACAGTTTTGAATTTTTTAACTTGAAATTATTGAACTATGTTCAATTTTAAATAAAAAAGGTATACTTGTTAGAAATCGATAAACTCAACCGTTTTTGAGATACAATGTTTTAATTTTTTGAGATTCGGCGGGAATTAAATTAGAAAATTAGCAGGTCATGAGATACCAAGCCTGAAGTAAGAATTAAGACGAACATCACAGCAACTGAAAATTTTATTATGCATATCTTAACAAATTATTAATCATAAAAGATTCTCAAAGCAATCACTAGCGACTTCAATGAACTTTTTTAAATTTTGTCTGATGTTAAATAAAGTTCTATGTTGTTTGATAATATGAACTGATCCTTGAATATTTGTCCACAGTTGCTCTTGACTATTAATATTGTCTTTGTAAATAGCGACTTAAGATAGCTCTAAAAGACAAATCTAACGGATTTAAATCGGGGCTACGTGCAGGCCAAGGTTCTACATACTTCGCTACCGCGTCCAATATAACGGTGCGAGAAAGTTCTCGAGTATAATGTCAATTTATTATGTCAATGCCTACTACTTTGGAAAAAATATTTTTTTAATTTAAATCCCGCCGAATCTCAAAAACTTAAAATGTCTGTATCTCGAAAACGGCTGAGTTTATCGATTTGTAACTAGTATACAATTTCTAGTTCAAAAATTCAAAATTGTAAAATATAAACAGTTAGAAATGTTTTTACATTGATAGGACAGTATAACAAGCGCCCCTTAGACGTTACGCAAACACTGTTTACAATCATACATACAAACTTAAAGCATAGCTAAAAATTGAAAATATTTTTTTAACTGTAACACCCTGTAAGTAGAGCGAAAAGGAGCAACAACTGACTAAGGCATGTTTGGCTCAATCACTATATTTTGACGTTAACAATCTGCCAGTAAGCTGTGTACCATTATTAATTACTCACCCTGTGTATAATAGGAATGATGTAATGAATGTTATTCATAGCCTAACAAATACGAATTCCATGGGTTTGATTGTATACCAACAAAAGTGGTTAAAAATATAGGCTTATTTATTTATTTATTTATTTAAGAAGTAGGAAACCCAAGAGGACGAAATATCCCAATAACAGNCCGCTCCTCATCACCCATCGAGTGCTCTACTCAGAACCAAGGGGAAATTTGTTTATATTTCCAGCCATTTCCGAGTTACGAGCAAAAACCGTTTTTGTTGTGACATCACGGCTCGATAACGAAGTCTAAAAAGGCCACACGTTCCCTCCCTATACAATAGGTGTCCTGAAAATGCTGGGGAAGCTACAAATACGCCTGAAGATAGCAAAAACAGAGAGAGAAATGCCCTCTATGAAGACATGAAGTCTCTTTATCTCTATGACACACTATAACTCTATCTCTCTCGCACACAATCAGACAAAAACGACAGAAACGAACCTTCCTTTAAAAATACATGGGATTTATATTTAAAATAAAACGTAATTAAACTGTATTATTCAAATAACAATAATGTGCAAAAGTTCTTCAGGAATATCGACAAATGAATCCTGTCAATGAACACTAAAAAATATTATTACAAACCTTAGGTGGCCAGAAAACAGCCCCGATCTCAGTCTTTTACACATTTTTTTGGGAGGACACTTCAACAAAATATATTCTTAAAGACTTCAAAATTTACAAGCATTGAAAGAAAAAATACAAAACGAAATGTTCAATAATTCTGAATTTGTTTTTGAAGCAATAAATAATAAATTAAAACATATTTTCAACTGTATCATCACAATTTGTTGCATGTTGATTTATACAAATTGTAGGTATTTTAATGTTATTTCGTTTTCAGGTATTCTCTCCTGATGTTGTTGTAAAGGTTAGTTATAAAAGTCGTTGTTTGTTTTTTCAATAAGGATGAATTTTAATTTTTTTTTATGATATTTTTACTTTAAACATATATTTTATGCCAGAAAATTTTGATGTCAAAAGAAATAAAAGAAAAATCGCACATTTGTATTTAAAGTTTTTTCTATCTTTAATTATTAAACCTGTAAGTGGATGTCAAAATACAAAAAAAAACCTGTACCATTCCCCGACGCGCGACGTGCTAATAACCCACCGATATGAAATAGATTTATCATCATCAAAGATTAAAAGAATTATACTTATTACAAGCTGTTTAAAATATCATTACAAATTTTGTTTATTTGGAAATATATTTTCTGCAATATTTCAATACAAAAAATGAAAATAGTAGCTAATTAACGAAATTATGATTAAATAACCTAACTGTGAGACTGCTGCAGAATATCATATGAAACTACATAGATACATTCGTTGATTCTTTAAAAACATTTTTATCAATACACACGTTATACATTTAAGTAAATACAGTAACGCAAAAAATAGATATTGATAAAGAAGTGTACAAAAGAAATCCGTAAGTACGCCTGGCAACATCACCAAAGTCTTGTTTATATGTTGCTAGGATACGGGTAGGTATGCGGGCCGCTGCATTTGATTCTTCCTAAAATTCTGCTGGTGGTGTACTCTATAGGCAATTCGGTAATTTAAAACTGCTGGCCTATTCCAGTAGCGGTCTATGGCGATAGCTATTTTGTCTGTGGTGCCAGAGTACTTCTAGATAGCGGCAGCCAGGCTAACTTTATTAGCGAAAAATGCAATTCAAGATGGCGTTCTTCATATTGGCGATACTATGGTAATACTTAACAAAGAAAGTTTAAACAAAACTTATGAAGGGTTTAACAGTGCATCTAAAAAGTGTATTTTCAACTTAGATTATTTAAGTGAAATTTCGAAAAAACGACAGTTTTCCGTAACACTATAGCAGTTGCGACCTCTAGTGGTGAAGTTACAAACTTGAAAATATTTTATATCAATTTCTTTTGTCCGTGTGTGTTATAGCCACAGCATCCGTCATTTTAAACTCATCTATTATAGCACGTACAATCAGGTGCCCGCCTTGTTTAAAAAAAATTCAACAGAAATTAGTGAAACCTCAAATTTTTAATCCTTTGTGGATCCTAAATGACATCCCTGATAATATGTTTCGATATTGTCAAAAATAACCGTACTTTACTCTTGGCGACTAACAATATTTTTCTAAATACTGAACACCCTGTATAAAAAATGACAAATATTTTAATAGTTTTGACCGTTTTGGAACAAGCAGGAGTTTTTACAAAGAATGACTTTTTGTCGTAAACCCACAAATAAAAACCTTTTTCCTCTTCCGGACATTACAGCGGGACATGCTGTATATATTACTTTCTGGATATGTTATTAGTAATTTTTTATAATGAGAACCTTACATCTTTTCCACCTATGTCAAATTTCATTTTGGCAGCACAGCTTTATCACTTTACATCTTTTTCATTACGTTCTCGAACCCTTCTTTTGTTTAAAATGGCATGTTCTATTTCTTGTTTCAGTTTGACTACGTATTTTAGAATCACCTTGTATATAGACTGAACTAAATTTGATTAGGTACTTCTACAGGCATCTCGGCAATTATTAGATATACAGACAAGTTTAAATGGGCAAAGTAGTATAGAATTTAATATGTATCCATATTTCGCTGAGAAAAAGTTGATTTCGCTTTTTTCTAAATAAATAAATTTAGAATGCTTATCAACATTTTGTTAAGAGGACAATTGATTCCAAATCGATTGGATTTTATTTAGGAAAAATTGAATATGGTTCTTTTGCAGTCTGGTTGAAACTCTTTTGTGATTTTATTTAGTTAGTATTATCTTTTTAACTAATAATTTTCGACAATATCACAGCAAAGTACACATTTTTCTGATTAACTTAATGTATTATATTCTACATATATACAACATACATCCATACCTTTTAATAATGGACAGAGGTGACCTAGAGCTCCTATTGGACCTCTTCCTGTAAATTGGCCTACAGCTAACTCCATATACAACATAGGACCACCAATAAAAACCATTATAATAGCATATGGAATAAGAAATACACCTGAAGAAAAAAATAAGGTAAACTTATATCGTTTTAGTTATGTTGATATCCGGCTTATACGAAGAGTATCAGATATGGAAATTTTGTAAAACCGACAATTATTATTTTTTTATTCAAAATAAATTAATTTTAAAATCAAATTATTTAAATTGATAAATAAAATCCAATAGTTGCTCGATAACGATGAGAATTAAGATGGAGGAATATGCATGTAATTTTTTTTTTTCTATTATCGACGCTAGTATTTGACTGATGAAGAGAGAGAGATAAAGGGAAATATAAGCTACCATCTAATCGACGGACAGCAATGAACAACATGGCGGATTAATAGATAGAGACAGAGAAAAACGGATGTTTCTGATAACCTAATAAATTCATGACAATGAAAAAGGGAAGATATTATTTAAAAAATATGCTTCTCTCGAAACAGTGTATAGAAAAGAAAGGAACACAACATAGAAATAGAAAAAAAAAAAACATGGCTGCCTATGATTAAGACGCCTATGAATGTTGAGAAGTAGGAACATATATGATTATATTTCTAATAGGTGCTAACATTGGACTGATGGACAAAGATAAAAATTGCCGTGTTTACTAAGGGTATGAATTTCGTGTAGAGTGTAATTCACTATTTGACACCCCCATTTAACTTTTTTGTTATAAAAAAAATGTGAAATACAAAAGTTGCACGATTTTTTATAAAGTTTTCGAAAATGACTGTAGAAAAACAAATGAAGTTCAAACAAAATGGGCGCGGATGTTAACTTTGCTAATTTAAATAGAACACCTTGCATATTTTTACATATTTGGATAGAACGTTCCCTGTCGAGCATAGTCATTTAGGGTTTGTTGGGTCCACCTCTAACAATAAGCGAGATAATATTAAAAAATTAAAGAAAGGTTTTTTATTAACAAAATAATACATTTTGTGAAACCTCTTTCTGCCTTTTTTCCAATTATATAAGGATTTACAGATTTAGTTGTAATATTTTAACATATCGCACATTGATTACGGTCCAAAATGCGTATACGTATTTTAACTAAATATCACTAATTAGGCCGTGAGAGGCCTATTTACTCATGGACAATGTTCTATGGTAGACCATGATAGTGACAGGTAGTAATGTCATGATAACATTGTTGTTGATTGACAGTTTGTATTATTATTTAATTAAAATGGATACAGAAGTAGAAAATTGAAATATTATTAGGAATTAAAATTGAGTATGGAGAATAACTTTCTCTATATTAATTCCTATAATATTTCCTTTTCTGTGTAACCCATTTTAATTAAATAATAATAGAAACTGTCGAATAATAACAATATTGTCATATTGTCACGGCTTACCATTTAACATTGTCCATGAGTAAATAGGCCTCTCAGGGCCTAATTAGTGTGATCTAGTTAAAATACCTATACGCATTTTGGACTATATCAATGTCCGATATGTCAAAATATTTTACAACTAAATCTAAATCCTTACGTAATTGGAAAAAGGCAGAAATGCCTGAAAAAGGTCTAACAATTACAAGATGTCTTATTTTTTTAATAAAAAAACTACTTTTTGTTCTTTCATATTATCTCAATTATTGTTAGAGATGGACCTAACAAACCCTATATGACTATGTTCGACAGGGAACGTCCAAATATGTAAAAATATATATAGGGTGTTCCATTTAAATTGACAAAGTTAACATCCGCGGCCGTTTTGTTTGGACTTCATTTGTTTTTCTACTATCATTTTCGAAAACTTCATAAAAAATCGTGCAACTTTTGTATTTCATATTTTTTTATAACAAAACAAAAAAGTTAAAGGTGGGGTCAAAATATAGTGAATCACTCTGTACAATCAATTTTTGGCAATAAAGTATTCTTGTAAAGTATTCGTAAAATTTACTGGTCTTTAGATAATTGGGAAATCAAATAAGAAGATAGTTACTCACCGTGTACAATAAGAGATTTTACTCACAACGTCGACCAATTCGTATTTTACTACTGTGTCCAAAAATAACGTGAATTACTTATTTAAAATTCGCGGGTATTATGAAAGCATACAATTATTTTTTTGTGCGTTGGTAGTGCTGTCGCTTATATTTACGTAGTTTCAAATTAATATATTCAATAGTTGCAGAGCTACTTGCAAACAAACGAGTGTTTTAAAAAATGCAGGTTTTTCTTATAACTACATATTAAAGAGTAGGTATTTTTAGTATGGGAAAAACATTTATTTTAAACACTACAACTTTTACAAAGGAATCTTATAACGAAATAAATTTATTTAATTGGGGTTACCCATATGTTATTTTTAAATTTTGTATAATTTTTTTTGTATTTCTATAGTAATAGAGAGTGATTTGTATTTTTTATTATTCATTTTGATTTTAATTCGAATAATTGCTGTAGAAAAGTTTGACTGAAATCTCAAAGAGGAGAATTCACTTACCCCCTCCACTTTTATAACACATATACGGAAACCGCCATATTGAACCTAGTCCTACACTGTAACCAACACAAGCAAGAACAAATTGCAATTTATTTGCCCAGTGTTGCCTTCTAGGTTTAATATATTCACTTTCCTTTTCATCGACACTTTCGTCGTCACTGTCATCGTCATAAAGGTATTCTTCTGGTGGCCTATAATTAAAATTACAAAATATACGATAATGCAACATTATAAAAATACAGTTTATTTTCTATTTTTGAAAAAAAAAAATCCTTATGTACAGGGTGTATCACGAAGAGGGCCCAGTAGGATTATCTCAAAAAGTAGTCAGAATTGAAATCTATCAAAAAAATCTATTCAATGAAAATAGTGTCAACTTCTTCGCATTTCCGATTATACCTGAAGTGGCGAAAGTCATCATCAGCTCTGTTATTTCAAATGGAAAACTATGTATATTTATAAATTTTTTAATTTTACGGCAAATTCAAGACTATTTTCATATAAGGTACTATGGGCCAAAATGTAACAGTTTTCAAGTTATTATTAATTTTCGAAAAAAATTGAGGGATGTAAGTGATTTTTGAAAATAGAGTAACTCCGATATTTGCTTTATTTATTAATGAAATTTGGCATGAATAATTTGGAATTCAACCAGTTTATGTCAAATTTGCAAAAATTCATACGGAGTGTGGCCAATATTGTGACGTTTAAGTTGAATTTATTCAAAAATTTCAAATGGTAAACCCTGTATATTATTACATTAATGGATGCAGAATTAAATTTACTTTAAAATGATACTATAGTTCCCTATACCCAAAGTTAACAGTTTTTGGAAAATTTTGGAAATTTTTTATTTCAACACAGAAAAATCTACGAGTATGGTGAGTTTATTTAAAGCATCGCCCTTTTTAATTTAATATACTGAATTATTGTTTTTGATGAAGGTATAACGATAATAAAAATTACAGTTCATTAATCAGACACCGTTTATTATTCAATTCTTTAGTGCATCAAATCCACCGTACGTTTTTCTGTGTTGAAATAAATAATTTCCAATTTACACAAGAACTGTTAACTTTGGGTATAGGGAACTATAGTATCATTTTAAAGTAAATTAATTGTACATCCATTAATGTAATAATATACAGGGTATATCATTTGAAATATTTGACAAAATTCAACTTCAACGTCATTACTTTTAAATTATATCCGTGCCAAATTTCATTAATAAATAAAGCTAAATGTCGAAGTTATTCTGTTTTCAAAAATCACTTGCATCCCTTAATTGTTTTCGAAAATTTATAACTTGAAAACTGTCAGTTTTTGGCCTATAGTACCTACCTTCAATGAAATTAGTCTATATTTTACCGTAGAATTAAAAAATGCAAACATATACAGTGTTTCATTTGAAATAACAGAGTTGATGATGATTTCCGATATAACCGAAAATGCTAGAATGTTGACACTATTTTCATTGAATAGATTTTTTTGATAAACAGCTGTATTCAAATTTTCAGATTTCAATTTTGACTACTTTTGAGATAATCCTACTGGGCCCTCTTCATGATACACCCTTTATACATACACAGGGTGTTTCTGAAAATAAGTGCGTTCCTTAAAAAAGGTNAAACGCCAACATATCAATACATAAAAACAAGTACATACCTACAATCAACCAAAACACAAAACATCTACAAATTCCCATTTTTTGCTGTGGCACTGTTCACGCATCAGTTTGTGATACCTACCTACTTTTGTTGAAACGTTGTCTTCAGAAATGTTTCATCAAATAAGAACTTTCTTAAAAATTGGAAACTGAGTATTTCGTGTATCTATAGGAAGTTTTTTTCTTATTTTAAGTTATCAAGTTTAGCGGGCACATTTCGACCCGAATGAAACTTAACATATGTCTTGAGATCATAGATTGCAGTGGCCGAGACGTATTACTTACAACAATTTTCAGTGAAATTATGAATGCTTTTAAAATAACATCTTTCATACATGTTATACCTATTAAAATAAGAAAAAAGATTATTAAAAAAATGGAGTTAGAACTCTCACACAAATGACACTAATTTTGCACGAAGCAGGAGTTGTTACATTTCGTTTAACATAATTTTTCATTTGTCTGTTTTCATAGGACATAGCCTGCCTCGTTAAGAAAAGAATAATCTTTATAAATACTCTATGTTATTTAGAAAACTAAATAAAGGAGGATGTTCTAGCAAAACAAAAAAATACCTATATCGACTTCCGGTTTGTGTATTTGTTTTCCTTAATAAATGGTCTATCAAGCCATGAAAGAAAACCTATATTGTTGCATTTAACTTTATTAGTAAACTGAGACAATAATTACAAAACTTTTCCGATTAGTGACGCCTACCGTTGCGCAGGAAAATAATATTTTTATTCACATATTATAAAAATAAATTTTATTAATAGTTCTTTAAAATGGGTCTACGTTTCTTGAAATCTGTTGAGGCATTTAGACGTTATGACAATTTAAAAATTGTTTAGGATAGTTAGTTTTAAATTATTATTAGTTAGTAGGAAAATAGTTGTAACTTGTAACATTATTATTTTAATCCTTCGTTTGCTATAACTTTAATTGGCGCGGATAAAGCATCCAAACGAATTATTTTGTCGCAACTACGCAAAACGAAGATCTCCAAAACGCAGAAGTCGACTAGAACGTGTCGTAGTACCAGGCCTGGTGACGTGGTATTTTATTATTGTTATCGTTGATTGAAAAACTATGGTAATTTTTGAAGAGAAATCGTTGTTGACCCCCAAATTAAAAGACGATTGAAACCAGTGGTAAGTTGTGACATTATCCTCGTTTGTTAGGGTGTTCGCCTAAGACTTTCACTGTAATACAGTCTTTATGAATTCGTGCAGATAAATTATACTAACTATTAACTATTTTGAAAATATGACTACTAATAAAATGAAGCAATCTAAAGCCCTTTGTTCCTCGGCTATTAGTGAAATCGAAGAGTCGTTGGCTATTGCAAATGCTGCTCTAACAGATGAAAATCTGCACTCTCAATTAAAAATGAGATATAAAGAAATTGATTTAATTAGAGAGAAATTTGAGACACATCATCGGACAATAATTGGTATATTATCTGTTTCGGAATCAACTATGGAGGAAATTGAAATAGAAAATAATATTCGAGCTACTTTTAAACAAAAATTTTATAATTTTAAGGCCATCTGCCACCATTTATTTGAACATGATGTAGTTGATAATCAAACTCGTGTTAAACAACCTAATGTTAAATTACCGGATCTTGATTTACCTATATTTGATGGAAATTTTCAAAATTGGTCTAATTTTTACTCATTATTTTGTTCGTTGATACATGATAATCCTGCATTATCAGATGTAGAGAGTGTTGGGTACTACATATTGGCAGGAAATAATTGAATTAGATAAAATTACGTCAGTCACCCGAGGCTCTGAGAAATTTGTTGGATATACTCACAGAAAATTTAGATGCTTTTAAAAATCTTGGCCTTCCGGTAAAGGAATGGGATTTTATTCTATATCATTTATTAATTCAAAAGCTTGATGTTGCTACCGTAACTCGCTATGAATTGCATAGTAATTCGAAACAGAACCAGTCTGAATTTCCCTCTTTCGAGGATTTGCAAAAGTTCTTATATCATCAATGTTCNTTGTTTTTGATGAAGGTATAAAGATAATAAAAATTACAGTTCATTAATCAGACACCGTTTATTATTCAATTCTTTAGTGCATCAAATCCACCGTACGTTTTTCTGTGTTGAAATAAATAATTTCCAATTTACACAAGAACTGTTAACTTTGGGTATAGGGAACTATAGTATCATTTTAAAGTAAATTAATTGTACATCCATTAATGTAATAATATACAGGGTATATCATTTGAAATATTTGACAAAATTCAACTTCAACGTCATTACTTTTAAATTATATCCGTGCCAAATTTCATTAATAAATAAAGCTAAATGTCGAAGTTATTCTGTTTTCAAAAATCACTTGCATCCCTTAATTGTTTTCGAAAATTTATAACTTGAAAACTGTCAGTTTTTGGCCTATAGTACCTACCTTCAATGAAATTAGTCTATATTTTACCGTAGAATTAAAAAATGCAAAAATATACAGTGTTTCATTTGAAATAACAGAGTTGATGATGATTTCCGATATAACCGAAAATGCTAGAAAGTTGACACTATTTTCATTGAATAGATTTTTTTGATAAACAGCTGTATACAAATTTTCAGATTTCAATTTTGACTACTTTTGAGATAATCCTACTGGGCCCTCTTCATGATACACCCTTTATACATACACAGGGTGTTTCTGAAAATAAGTGCGTTCCTTAAAAAAGGTCATAGAGGGCACAAAAATGAGCAACTTTTATTAAGAAGCTGATGGTTTAAAGTTTAAATGCTTCTGTTTTCGAGAAAATTAATTAAGAAAGTTAACGATAAATGTAGGCTGACCCTGTACATCCTGTGCACGTGCGTTGTATGTTGCAGAATTACTTAGCCGGCGTGGCGTATAAAATGTTTTCTGGTCAAGAAATAGCAGATGCGGTGTAAATGTACTGAGAATAGTACAATTAAAGTGAGACTTATCGCTTGTACGCGGTTTGTTATCGTAACAGACGACAACCTAACAGAAGAGCAGTACAAGAGGCAGTTACGGGATATCGAAAATGTCCACCTAACATATGAACGCCGCAACGTGTTTTTTTCGACAACGAAGAAAATATCATAAACCTCGTTAAAGAGATCTGAGACATTGGCCGAGAAGTGGGATTTAATAGTACTGTGTGGTGAGTACTACAGGAACGATTATTATACCCCTATCATGTACAAAGGGTTCAGACATTAAATAACAATGATTTTCATCCCCGTGTGGAATTTTGCCAGTGCTTTCGACATCAAATAGCACAAGATCCAGATTTTACAAGCAAGGTGCTTTTTACAAATAAACGAATAAGAATGTTTATGAATGTAAACCGGGGCCATGTTGAGAATTTAGTGTACGTATCCAGCTGAATGTAATGAATTTATGTTATTAATAATAACTATTTTAATTCTCATTAAATTAACTCTGTATTGGAAATTGTAAATTTAAACATATTTATTAGGTATCGTNCACTATTGATCCTGCCTTGACTGACATTATTGAAAATGT